CTTTCTTGTAGACAATGTCGGGTAGACCTTCAACTAATTTGTTTCTTGCTAGCTTGTTGATAGTCTTGAAGTTTAGATGATTCAACTTCTTGTGCCATTCCCAACTTGTTGCGTGTGAGTTGTTTGCTAGTAGACACACTGATTCTTTTGTTGTGTTCCAATCCACAACGTACATGTGTTTCTTTCTTACTCCTTCGAGAACAACTTCTCCTGTGGAATTATTTTTCACTTGGCATTTCTCTTTGAAGAACTCTACTAGATATCCTTTGTCACAAAATTGACTTGTACTTAACAAGTTGAATTTTAGACCTTCAACAAAGGATACATCTTCGATTTTCAAACCATTTCTAAATATTGTGCCGATTCCTTTTGTTATGCCGTATCGTTCATTTCCACCGAATACGACTTTTGGTCCTTCGATATTTTTAAGATTCACAAGACTTGATTTATTTCCAGTCATGTGTCTAGAACATCCACTATCGAAGTACCAAACTTCCTGCAAATGAATTAAACATTTTTAGGTACCCAACTTGACTTGGGTCCTTGGGTGTTAGTCATTTTTGGTACCCAAATCCACCTTGTACTCACTGATCTAAGTTTAGGTGATTGGTAACCATTAAATACATTATAATCATATTTAATTTTTGAAAACATTTTTTGTGCCGATTTTTGAAAATTGACTCGATTTCTTGGCACGTGGGATATAGATTGTTTGGGCCTGTGATAAGCATTAAATCTGGACTTAGTCCATGGTTTAATATTTCCAAACCAATCTTGTTCAGAGGGATAAAATCTCCCTGCCCCAATTCTCGGATTTCTTCCCATTTTCCTATGAGGACTTTGTGCACTTGACTCATTGGTATGTTTCCATTTAGGAACAAACTTTTGTCTTTTAGTGTACTGTTTGGACGAAATATTGTTTCTTTGATGCTTTAGTCCAACAGTGTTAATTTTGACATCAGTTTGGTAACCAATTCCTTGTCTCACTGTGCTTTCTTGACCTTTTACAAATTTTACTACTTGAACTTTATTACTTAAAGTAGTAGTAGAATTGGTCAATTTCTCGGAGGCTTGAGAACACGATGGATCATAACCAAGTCCGGTTTTATCACTTGAGGGTTTTTGCATATTTACCATTTTGTCCATTATTTTGGATGAATGCGTAAATGTTGCTATAACCTCTCTGAGGTTGTGTTCTCTCACTTCCCTTGATTTACACTCTTCTTGAAGACAAATAATTTTATCTTTCAAGTCTTTCACTTCAAGTAGAGCATTTTGCAATTTTTCATTCAATTGATCCTTTTCAAGAATCAGATGATTATTGCGCTCTTTGAGTTGAGAGTGAGTGTCCATTGCGGTTTGACATTCTTCCATTAAGTGAAAGAAGGACTCTCTGGAAAATGAAGAATTGACAGAGTCATAAGATTTAGATGTTACCTCATTTTCTTCATGTCCATTAGCCATAAGACACATGTCCTCGTGTGGTGCATTGTTGGGGATGCTCATGCAAAACATTGCATTGTCATCCTTTGAGGTGTCACTTTCATCACTTGAAGATTCTTCTGACTCACTTATTTCAAGTGGGTCACTGATGAGTGCTTTTCTTCTTTCTTTTAATCTTTTATCTTTGGGCTTGAATTCTTCCTGTTGAGGGTTAGTAACATTTGTGTACTGACTTTTACTTACCTTGGGATATGGACAACTTGCTGCAAAGTGTCCCGGTTTTCTACAGTTGTAACACAAATTTGAATCTTCCTCAATAATTTCTTTCTTCAAATTCTTCGTTGTATTCCATGATTTCCCTTGTGGATTTTTCTTGTAATTGCTTTTCTTCATGAATTTCCTGAATTTCTTGACAAAAAGAGCAAATTGATCATTAGGCAATAATTCAACATTTTGTACTGACCTTGAGGTTGATGGTTGCTCGGCTATAAGCGCGTTGTTCTTTTCTTCATGATCTTCCTCTAATCTTGATTTCATCTCAAATTCATAAGCTTTTAGATCACTAAAGAGCTTATCGGTTGATAGGGTTTTTAGATCCCTATGATCTCTCATGGCTGTGACCTTCATGTCCCATGTAGATGGTAGACCACGTAGAATTTTGAGTGAGATTTCTTTTTGATTAATATCTTTTCCAAGATCATTAATCTCTCCTAAGATTTTGGCAAATCTTGTTTCCATGTCGGTAATATTCTCGCCGGTTAGCATTTTGAAATCCTCGAATTTCTTTAATGCTATAGTGAGTTTATTATCCTTTTCTTGTTCGTCTCCTTCACCAATTTGAATGAGCGTTTCCCATACTTCCTTTGCGGATTGACACTTTCGAACTTTTGGAAATATCGTGTCATCGATAGATTTAAACAAAATATCCTTGGTAATATTGTCCAAGTTATTTCTTGTTCTATCTTCGCGAGACCATTCCACTTTCGGTTTTGGAATGTATTGTGGAGTGTCACTTGTTTGTACGGATGAAGTGTTGACTTGCAAAATCTCAATAGGACCACTTGTAACAACTTCCCACATTTCATCATGTAATGCGGATAAATGTACCTGCATGCGAATTTTCCAATCGTCAAATTTTTCTAGGGAAAATAATAAATTTTGGGCAAGAGCATTATCTCTTTTCATCATCTTGATTTTTCGAGATCTGTCTAGCAGTCAAAATTGACTCAAATAGACAACCGCTCTGATACCAATTGTTGGTCCCGATAGGGTGGTGAAAGTCTAGAGGGGGGGTGAATAGACTTTCAAGCTTTTTCAAATTAAATAACTCTTTGGTAACTTCAACTCTAAGTAACAAGTAAATAGAGCAAGTTTGTACTGCACAGCGGAATAATAGTAAAGAGTTATGCCCAACTAGTAAATTAAGTGTGCAGGTATAAGTAAGTTAGGTACAAAAGATATGTAAAGTGACAGAGATATCTTGAATATATAAAGGAGATGGTTCACTCAATATATAATAACAATATTCAAGATTGTAAATAAATATCGTATCACGTCGAACGTGTGACGAATGTTACATGCAGCACGTCAAACTTGCTTAGAATAAATCACTATTTAAGCTCGAGAAGTTTGAGTCACATGCATACGTGAGAACACACTAAACCCGGATGATAAAGATTAATCGTGAATAGTAAACGGGTTAGTCGGATGAGATAGATAGATATAGCAAATAATGTAAGTGCTGTATGTAAATGAGAGAGGCAATTTATAGTGGTTCGGAAGTGGCGTAATCTTCCTAGTCCACTTTTCTCCTTTCGCGTCTAGGAGAAATTCACTATTTTCCACACACAGTTACAATAGTGAACAAGTGCTACACAGGCACTTCTTCCGGATGTCTTGCACACAGCTACACCCAACTCCGAGTGTCTCGCACACAGCTACACTCAACTCCGAGTATTTCGCACACAGCTATACTCAACGCCAACTAAGTGTCTTGCACACAGCTACACTTAGCAACTACGAGTGTTTTGCACACAGCTACACTCACTAGAGTATTTTGCACACAGCTATACTCTTTCTATAATTTACAAATACAAGGATTTGTTTTTCTCTCTCCAACTAAATTTTGAGACTATTCAGACTAAGTCTCTTTGAATATTTGAGCACTAGCACTTTTGAATTTTGCACTTGTATTCTATCTCGTTTTTCTCTGTTCTTCTCACGCTCATTTGTCTTCAAGTCTTCATGGCTTTTTATAGTCAATCAAATATATCCGTTGGAGTGGGATAATTTGATATTTGAAATTTGAATCTTCATAGCCTGATATTGTTGACAGTAGTAGATCTTCAATTTTGATTTGATTTGTCAACTTGCCTGACAAAGTAATTATTTTTAGCACAACTTTGATTTTCTAGTTGTTTCTAAAAATATTACTTTAATTGTCAATTTGAATATCCAACGAATCTTTGAAATAAATTCATCTGATAGAATTTATTTCTAGGATAAGTTTTTATATTCATGCCTTCATAAATATTTTTCCGTTCTGATCAAATGTCTTTCAGGCAATTTTGGAGTCTTGTAGCATGTGGGTGGACTTGGAGTAAATTCCTTCGAATTTATCCAATTTCTGATCATCTTGCTTTTTTGCCACATTGTGCTCCTTTGACTTGAACATCGTGCTCCTTGACTTTGAACATTGTGCTTCTTTCGATACATTGTGCTCTTCTGACAACATTGTGCTTCTTAGACAACATTGTGCTTCTTAGCATTGTGCTCCTTAGCAGAATTGATCACATTGTGCTCCTTTGATGAGCATCGTGCTTCTTCGGACACATTGTGCTCTTTTGACACACATTGTGCTCTTCTGAGCACACATCGAGCTCCTTAAAAAATCTGCCTTAGTAAAAATATAGGTCCTTGGGGAGGAATCAATCTCGGGTGTGATCGTTTAGAGTAAGGACCTCTACCATTTCGCCGTTAGGCTCATCCGGTTATTTCTTGCAACGCCATTGCTTTATGCTTCTTTCACGGATGAATACTCGTAGGACCAAAATTAATTTCTCAAATTAATTTTGTTCTTCCTATGGTAGATTCCTTCTGATTTCAATATTCTGATTTATGATGCTTGTACTAAAGACCTAAAGACCAAGGGGATCTAAAGATACATTTGGCTCATCAAAACTTACAAAAATATTCCTATCATAGGATCTTTCCCCAAGGTCCTCTTCCTAACAATCTTTCCTAAGCTTGGTGACAGGGAATTCTTTGTCTGAATTCTGGGAGGGGACTTTCGAGTGTGGAGAAGGAGATGGGAGGGAAAGGGTTCTATAGGCTTTATAATTCCTTTTACATAGGTTTAGGACTCCTAATTAGAATCTGATTAACACTGGGCCCAACTTCTTTATTTTAACGGGCTTTAAGGCTTTAATATAGACAAGGGTATACGATCCTCCGTGGACCACATTAATTAATTAGGGGATCCTGACTAAATTAAATCCTTTTGACTATTCTTTAACGGAATTAATTAAATAATTAATCCGAGTTTAAAGGGCGTAACAATGGGTGTTATAGAGATACCCCCGCAATTGGCTGGCTTTCATGTGGCAGGCCTAATTGACCAGGATAGTGGTTCACGGGATATATCTATTTTATCTGACATTTTTATTCCTGTGGATATTTCAAGGATTTTGAAAGTTCACACTTCACCAGATTATGACGATTCTTGGTATTGACTTGGGGACCCCAAAGGTTGTTATTCGGTGAAGAGTAGCTATAGAACCATTGTTGGAAATTTTGCTGGCAATATCGGCTCCTTTGATAAGTGGAATAAGTTGTGGAGCCTAAAATTCCTCCAAAAATGGAAAACTTTCCTATGGAGAGATTTGAGTGATATCCTCCCTACCACTAAGAATTTGATTATAAAGAGAGTGGAAGTTGATCCATTGTGTAGCATGTGTGGCATCAATCAAGAAGACACTATGCATGCATTGGTGTTGTGTGGCTTTGCTAGCTCCGTTTGGCGCAAATCTAGCCTCCCAATCCCCAACATCTTGACAAATGTTTTTCGCACTTGGTTTGAAGAAGTTTTGGATATTCTAGACTCTAATCAAATGATTTCTACAACTGCAATTTTATACAATATTTGGAGAGCACGGAACGGGATAGTGTGGGAGCACTTTTTGCCGACGCCGAAAAGATTGGTGGTTTCGTCCCCTGCTACCAGGCATGCCTGGTGCAGCGTCCAGCCGAACACCAGCCGATTGCCTCTCACTGCTACGGCCTCGCCGTCACCTGCTGCGGTCCCCGTTCGACAGTGTTGGTTCGACGCCGGCTACCAACCCACGATGAAGTGTGCCACAGTCGACGCTGTACTACTCGGCGACGATGGGGGCTTCATCTCGGCCTTCAACCGCCGGCTACCGTACTGCTTTTCTCCACTAATGGCCGAGGCGCTAGCATGCAAAGAAGCTTTATCCTGGCTAAGGGGGAGAGGAAAACACAAGGTGGAGCTCCACACAAACTGCCTGACTCTACAACAGTACTTGTCCACCAACACAGGGCCTCTCCGTTCTTACGTTGGCTTTGTTATTGATGGATGCAGAACTTTTAGTGCCTCTTTTGCCTATTGCTCTTTAAAGTTTGTTCCTAGATCAGCTAATTTAATAGCTCATACTCTTGCATCTTTAACTTTTGCTCAGTCTATTGCCATGTACTGGGATGCTATCCCACCTGACTCTATTGCTGGTTATCTTTAATATATGACCGTTTCTTCAAAAAAATATATGGAAGCAAATTCCCATATAATAAATCTAAACTGTCGAGTTAGGAAATATTGCATTATTTCCTGATCTACAAATATTTTATTGTCCAAAATAATTATTATTAACGTAATTAGTATAATGTAATGCCTTAAGTTAGGAAATATTGCATTATTTCCTTTTCTTCTCAAATACAAAAATCGCACAAAATTGAAGACCCAAATTTGGGAGCCAAAGATGCTTATTTTTTTTTTTAGTTAAATTAAAATGAAGAAACTTTCACTAAAAACAGAAAAATTAATACAAATTAAGGTCACAGGTGCAAATCGATATTCACTATTTAAAAGATAATGTGGAGAGGAAAAAATATTTCAAGATCACAACAAAGTAATGAGTACGACCATAAACTTATATTTTAAGTGGTAAAAGTTATTTTAGACCAAGATCCACACTATACAAATTAAGTAGACCCTTGTTCATATTATAATCAGGGACGGAGGCAAATGGGGGGCCGGGGGCAGCTGCCCCCCCTCACTCCACCCCCACCCCTACCCTATATATAGCCTTTGTATATATATATATATATATGTATATACAGTACATTATGAGTATAACTATTACAGAACAGATTATGTAATTAAAAGCTTCAGTAGACAAGGTGGTAAGAGGTGTGTTTGGATTTAGAAATGGCTTGGGTTCAAGTCCTTGCATTAGCACAGTCACAACTTTCTACATCTTTGCTTCAACACAATTAAATTTTGGCATCCATATATATATTAATATAATGAGATGTCTTTCTTTTTTATAATAATAATGAGATGTATATATCACTTTTTTTATATTAATGCAAGGTCATAATCTTCTACATCTTTGCTTCAACACAATTAAATTTTGGCATCCATATATATATTAATATAATGAGATGTCTTTCTTTTTTATAATAATAATGAGATGTATATATCACTTTTTTTATATTAATGCAAGGTCACAATCTTCTACATCTTTGCTTCAACACAATTAAATTTTGGCATCCATACATATATATTAATAATGAGATGTCTTTCTTTTTTATAATAATAATGAGATGTATATATATATCACTTTTTTTATATTAATAATGTGATGTATATATAACTTTCTTTATATTAATAATGGGATATGTAATTTATAATGTGTTTTATATTCGAATTGTTTTATCAAATTAATTATGTTTCATATTTTGTTATAAATATTTTTATAAAATTTTAATATGTTTTATTTTCGCTATATCCAACAATATTTATTGTTATACTCAAGTGTTTCATTTTTTTTTTTTCAAAATTTCTCTTTTCTTTTAATTTTTTGCTCCCACCGAAAAAAATTTCCGGATTCACCACTGAATCCAACCCTACTTCTTTGCCCCCCTCAACATAATTTCTGGCTCCGTCCCTGATTATAATTTGCCATTTTCTCTTGTGATGATGACTTTCTTTATTCTGTTAAAATTGTACTAATCTCCTACAAACAATGTAAATATTTTAACTTTAATCAAACGACCATGCATAGCAGAAAAGTTGTAATGCATTAAGTTGTGGCCTTAAAAGATAGAATCAAAATATACCAAACTTGGGTTAAACTTTATATGGAAGCAAATTTCCATATAATAAATCTACTTTCGAGTAAGGAAATATTGCATTATTTCCAGATCTACAAAGATGTTATAGTCCAAAATAATTATTATTAACGTAATTAATATAATGCAATACCTTAAGTTAGGAAATATATATTGCATTATTTCCTTTTCTTCTCAAATACAAAAATCGCACAAAAAATATAAAGACCCAACTTTGGCAGGCAAATATGCTAGGGGAGACATTTGTTAGGTGGAAACATTAATTGTTGTTTTATATGCAATATTTTTACTTGGGGAAAGAAACGGTTGTTGGGTAGAAAAACTGGAAACATTAATTGTTGTTTTCTTTTTATTTATTTTTTCAGATTTATTTTTTATTTTTTTTCCTTTTTTGGTCTTTGTGTGTGGCTATATAAGTAACAAATATGGGTAATGATGCTTATAGTGATAACATTTTTTCTCTCTACTTGATTTAGTACGTGTTTAGCGTTTCTGGAAAACAAAATTAAAGAAAATGACGATTCAAATTTTATTGAAGGTGCTATATGTGCTATGCTTGGTCTTGGGTATGAGCTTCACAAGGTACTGTGATGCTCGTATTCTTAAACAAGAAAATCATCAAGTTAAAGAAAAGATACTAGATTTGTCATCGTTTTCATCAGCAAACATTCTTGTAGGTTATCGTTTTGCAGGTTTTCCTACCCCTCATTTTCCTGTTCCCCCGGAAGGTTCTCCTCTTGCAGGTTTTCCTATCCCTGGTTTTCCTGTTCCCCCACTTCCCCCTATAAGTTCTGCTCGTGCAGGTGTTCCTATCCCTGATTTCCCCGGTACCCCAAACTCAAGCCCTGATGTTGCAGGTTTTCCTACCCCTCATTTTCCTGTTCCCCCGGAAGGTTCTACTCTTGCAGGTTTTCCTATCCCTGGTTTTCCTGTTCCCCCACTTCCCCCTATAAGTTCTGCTCGTGCAGGTGTTCCTATCCCTGATTTCCCCGGTACCCCAAACTCAAGCCCTGATGTTGCAGGTTTTCCTACCCCTCATTTTCCTGTTCCCCCACAAGGTTCTCATCTTGCAGGTTTTCCTATCCCTGGTTTTCCTGTTCCCCCTATTCCCCCTATAAGTTCTGCTCGTGCAGGCGTTCCTATCCCTGATTTCCCCGGTACCCCAAACTCAAGCCCTGATATTGCAGGTTTTCCTACTCCTCATTTTCCTATTCCCCCACAAGGTTCTTCTCTTGCAGGTTTTCCCATCCCGAGGAACCTGTAGAAGGTCCAGTTGAAGCACCAAGTCCTAGCGGCAAGCTCCCGAGTGATGAGCCCAAGATAGTATAGGTTCATTTCCTGTGCTGCCTCTTGTCATGCTTTGCTGACCGTATTCTCTCATTTTTTTTCTATTGTATGAGAAAAGAAAATTAAAAAGAAATGATGTAAAATGAGAATTAAAGCTCCATATCTACATATATATAATTCCGTTGTTATTTGCCTTCAATGAAATATTATTAGTTGTAATCACCTGTTGAGGCAAGAGGTTTGATTAAAAACATTATATGTTAGTACTCTTTTTTATATGGTAAAATGACACAAATTTTATTGGAAAATTATTTGTGACAAATAAATAAAAGGTAAGGTTGTAATGAAACAAAATTAAAATAACAGGACTAAAATTGACAATGTCACAGTAATGGATGACTAAAAGTAGAATTTTCTCTTTAATCGGATGATCAAATCTTGAACAAAATCAATTGGCAAGAGACCAGTTATGGTCAAATTATAAACTGAAAATATAAAAACTAATAAATGTCAGTAGTCAATGGATTATTAATTGAATTAACTCAATATTATTATTAGCCTTGCAATATAATATAGTTTTTTTTTTGGGATCATGTTTCTTTAAATTAAACTGGTTTTATTCGTTCGATTAAAGTTAACATATTTACATTATTTGTTGGAGAATAGTACAAATTTTATAGAATAAAGCAAATCATCACAAGAGAAATGGACAGATTATATACCAAGGACAAGTGTCTACTTCGCCTTGTGGTTCCTGGTCCAAAATAACTTTTAAATTATGTGCCTGCAGCTGACATAATTTGTACGTGTAGTCAATAGTTTTTGTACTTTTAAATAATTAAATTAAAAACGCATAACATGTTAACTATACATACATAAAATAATAACTAGAAACACATAAATGATTAACTGGAGATATAAAATATGTTAAATATAAACATATAATATATTAATGATAACCGATGCGGTTAAAGTGTAATTTTGACAAGAAATACTACCAATTAAATATTATATATTTTTGGGTAGTATCACGGTATTATTTTATTTTAAAAATATTCTATATTGATAATACCAAAAGTTTATTATCAAATTAAATATTAGATATTTTTTGTAGTATTAATTATTATTATAATGATTATTTTGAAAATATTCTATATTTGACATGATTACTATTTCGGAAGATTAGATTATATATTATTATTATTACCATTTAACCCGAAGACTATGTATGATAGAAGCTTATATGTATTTACCAAAAAAAAATAGAAGCTTATATGTGTTAAAAAATCAGAGAGAAGGGAAGGATCATCTTATTCATTCAATTGTTTTGTACAATAGTACAATATATATATATATATATATATATATATATATATATATATATATATATATATATATATATATATATATATACACACACGGTACATGATAATCCATACAAAAAATTCCAGAAATTGTTTTAGCTGTTACAAGAATAAATACTAATAATGTCCATTATTAATAATATATATTTTAACACTCCCCTTGGACATTATTTGTCCACAACCTTGCTTCGATAAACACTTGCTAGGAAATAGAGAGAAGGGCTAAATTACCTACGACCCACAATATGCTTGAAGCAACAACGCTCTCTATAGAACACCTCATGCCTCCCAAGGCAAGCTACAACCCCAAATGCACGAAATACGCAAAGTGAATGAGTGGTTGACAAAACCCATCCAAGAGCTCATGAAAGATAGAGTGTTTCTTAAACAAGAAATAACACAAGATTTTCGGCAAGAAATGGCCACAATGAGGCAAGAGACGCAAGTCTCTTTCAAAAACCTCGAGACTCAAATGTCCCAACTCATGAAGATGATGTCCGAGAGACCTTGGGGTACTTTTCCAAGAAATATCGAAAACAACCCCAAGGAGAGACTCAATTCCATTTCGGTGAAGATTGCAAAAGAAGAGGAAATCTTGTGTGAAGAAAAGAAGGAAGCTATAGATGAAAAGGCCACCTCTTGTGGCCTAGCAAGCAAAGAGAAGATGGACACCTCTTGTGGCCAACGCAAGAAGAAAGAGGAGGTCCCGAGGAAGCCATCATCTCCACGGTACCGACCTCTAATCCCATTCCCTCAACGGATGCTGAACATGAATGAAATGGAGCAAAGAGGTAAATTAACGCACTTTTGCATAAGCTTCATGTTAATATGCCTTTTCTTCATACCTTGGGGGAGTTACACCGTTTTGCTTGCCATTTGAAAGAGCTTTTGAAGCACAAGAGGGGCGATAAGTGATGATTCACGAGTCCACCTCAATGTTGAGTGTTCGGCGGTGTTAAACAAAGGCTGCTACCAGAAGAAGGGTGACCTCGGTGCTTTCATAGTGCCGTGTATGATTAAAGACCTTGACTTTGATAACGCACTCTCCAACCTCAGTGCCTCAATTAATTTCATGCCATCCTTTTTTTGTTTGAATGCTTCATTTTGCCTCCATTGACTCCCACACACATGTCTATCCGCTTGGCCGACGGATCCATTTGGTATCCAAAAGGCATTGCGGAAGATGTGTTAGTATGGGTTAAGGGATTTATAATCCCCATAGACTTTGTGGTTTTAGATGTGGGCCATTGATAAGCGTCAAAAGTTGGTAATTTCAAAGAGCATTTTGAAGGTGTTTTTCGCATATTTTAGCCTTAAAGTCATGAGTTTTAGAGTAATTTATCTTCTAAACGCGGTTTAGCATGGAGACACCTTCCCAAATGTACTTTTATGTTTTTAGGTGTTTTTGGGCAAGAAAAGTGGCAAAAGAGGACAAAAACATCAAAGTCAAAGGAGGTACACATCCAAGGCACCAATCACGTTACAGCCAAGCACGTAAGGCGGAAGAAGAGGAATTATTTCCCATTTACGCCAGCCTCATGGCGTAAGTAGCTACGTAAAAAGGCTGAAGCAAAGCGCGTACGGAAAGGCAATTATTTCCCATTTATGACGTGCTTACGTCATAAAGGGATTGCGTAAATCGACAGCCAGGAAGAAAAGCGCACGGAAGGGGAATTATTCCCTATTTACGCCCGCGTCATGCAGTGACAACTGCGTAAATGGGGTGCCGAAGGGAGCTCAGGAGGATTTAAGGCATTTTTGCCTCATTTAGGAAGAAAAATGAGAGGATGATTTTGAGAGAGATTTTTAGAGAGAGGCACAATTTTAGAGAGAAGTTTTCTTAGTTTTTAGATCTAGAGTAGTTTCTTCATTTTCTCTTACTAGATTTTAGCCAAAAACTCTATCAATTTTGTAAAGAAAGAGAAGATCTAAGCATCCTCTTGCAAGATCTTCATCTCTAATCCGTTGGATTGACAATCTAGTTTGCAATTTTGGGTAAACTCTTAATCTAATCTCTTATTGCTTTATTGTGATGATGTTTACCTTGCATATGCTTTGATTGTTGATTTTGAGCATGAGTGGCTAAATTCTAGAGATTAGGATTGCAGTGATGATTGCTATTGTGATGATTGGCTTGAATTGATTGTTATATTGTGATGATTGTGTGTTGGAGTTATGAATGTCTTGTTGTGGAGGATGATCTTTTGTAGCTTCCTTGGTGTGGGGCCCAACTCCTTGGATGATTTAGATTCCTAGGTTTAGGCAATAGATTTCTAAACCTAGGTGAGCCCCTTGATCCTTCTACATTCCCCGCCCTAGATCCTAGAGGAAAAAGGTCCGGGAAGGAATATAGGCAAGGTGTTTATTAAAATGCACCGTAGAGATTATGAACACTTGGTGTTGTCTTCACCTATGGGAGGCGTATAGACCGAAATGGCTACACACTAGTGCATTTCTCTTGACTTGTAACTCGACATACAATCAACACAACCTCCTGCATCGCGGGAATAAGCCAATCACACATCGCAATCGACACGAAAATCCTAATCTGTTTTTACCTTATTGTTTTCAACCCTTTCTTTAAGCAATTCGTTCTTCTTTCCTTCTTATAAACCAATTCCCTATTCCACCACCCTTGAATCAAGAATCTCAAAGTTAGACCTACCTTGTTATTAACCTTACTCAAGCTTCCAAGTTATCATTCTGTGAGTACGACAACCCGAGAATCTTCATTCCTACCTTTTCTTTTGACCATTCCATCTACCCCCTATGTTGCAATTCCGTCACATACATTAGATGATTAGACAATTATAAACTTTGCTCAGTAAGCGTTTTGTCCATATCAAAGTTAGGATTAAGAGCAAATTGCTACAAATCCCCATGAGGCATGAGGATTGAGCAACATACTAGCTTAATCCCTTATTTTTTAGATCATTGGTGGAAGATTTCATCATCGCCACAATAATAATAATACATTAAAATGTGTCAACTTACCAACAATGGCAGCAACTAAAAAGTAACCAGTTACCAAGCTTCAATAGGATAATAGGATAACTAGGCAGCAACTAATTAAATTAGTTACCAAGCCAGCTGCCAGCAGGTGTGACACCCCAAAATCCAAATCCAATTAAGGGATTAATTGAGTAATTAATCCTATTTCAATTTGTAATTTAATTCCTTAAATTCCTGAAATTTAATAGTTGGGGACTAATAATTGACTAGTCAACCCCAAAGTCAAAGTTGTACCTTGAGCTTTGTAAGGAGTTCCCTTGTTCCTTACACTTCCTTATGTTAGTAAGGGTATTCTTGACCTTTCACTTATTGTTGGTAATGTAACCTAACCTAGTAAGACCACTTTCATTCACTCCTTACACTTTTCTAAAAATCTAGCTCCACCCTATCTCTAAAAGGTGAGTAACTTTTCTTCCAAGCCAAGTTGGAACCTTGCCAAAACTTCAAGAGTTGCTTCCAAGATTCAACCTTTCTTATATTTGGGCATCTAGGAGGGTAAGATCTAAGTTCATCTTGTGTTTTTGGTTTTATCAAAGGTGTCTTTTCTTAAAGATAGGATCTTTATGATCTTTTGGTATGTTCTTGAAGTGGGTTTGGAAGG